TCTCTCTCTCTCTCTCTCTCTCTCTCTCTCTCTCTCTCTCTCTCTCTCTCTCTCTCCCTCCCCCTCTGTCTCTATCTCTGCGTCTCTCTCTCTCTCTGGGAGTTATGGGGTTTTCTCATTTGGACTTGTGAACTTATCTGTGTAAAAGTGAAGAGATCTTCTAGACATCTTTAGGATTTAGTATAGCTGCTTATTGTTTGATCACTGGAAAGTTTCAAGTGTTATAAAGAGGTACCCTTTTCTCATTTGCACAATTACTGGAAGCTACTGTAATTAGTTATATTCTCATATAAATTCGTCCTTTCATCATCATTATTTTACTTTTGAGAAGAATAGAGACTAGATAGAGTCAAATAAATTTGGTATTTGTAGTCATATCATAATTGAAACTTTTGATTGAAAATTTATCATAGATAGCATGGGGGCCCTTTCAATTTTATAATCGTACATGGATTATCCTTCGTTTCTGTGGAGTGTTTCGTTCATCATTGTTTGGGTTTTGAAATACCATATATATCATTATTTAATACATGTAGAAAGTTTTATTATCGTACATGGATTGTGATTCATTGCTGTGGATTGTTTCATTCATCATTGTTTGTGTTTTTGATATATGAACAATGCATGCGGAAAGTTTCTTTTATGGGTCTTTTTCATATTTTCGGTCAAGCTTATAATTGTCTGGTTGGTAGAGGAAGTTCCATATTGGGATTATATAACGTTGCTATTTGAGAGCGTGACATCAGTTTCAAGGGTGGCACTGGTGTTACACCTAATCTAAAGAAATTTCTGTGAAAACTGAAAAATGCCTACTCAGGTTGGGATACTGGGAACCAGAGGTCTACTAGATGTGATCTACCTTGATTAAGCGGATTAGCTTTCCAGATTATGTATATATTGCACCTCTAGGAACAAAATGAAGGGCAAGGAAGTTTCCCTTTTTAATGGTCAAGGGATTCATAATTCTCATGTTTTAAGCTCTAAATTTCTCATATATTATGGAAAATTGTTACTGCTAATATTTGGGCAGCTGAGAGAGGATATTTATGTGAATTGTAGTTTGAAGGTGGGGCCTACCTTTTTCACATGGATTTCTTTCCTTCTGCTGCTTCTAGAACATGGAGAATGCTATTGAAGCGCATGCTTTCCATTTTAATGATAAAGTTAAAAGAAAGTTTATATGAGTTTTTAGTTTTGAATAGGAAGTAATGTAGTTAAATTTGTTCAGCAAAACAATTTCAGAGTGGTTTCTTATTGATATGTAGAATGATGTTATGTTATTTTCTGTTTCTTCTCCAACCCCCCCCCCCCCCCCCCCCCCCCCCCCCCCCCCCCCCCCCAAAAAAAAAAAAAAAAAAAAAAAAAAAAACTCTTTTCTGCCTTAGCTTGTCCCCGAGGAGGGCGAAAGTGAGGTGGTTTCAGAACCTTCAGGTTTACATTTGATTTGTTCTAACAGGATGTAGTGTAGTAAAGATCATTCGGTACTCAGTAGAATGATTTTACTAAGGTTTGTTATTGATATAAAGTAATGATTTCATATTGCTCTTTTTCCCTTTTCTTTCTTCCTCCCTAAATCTTCTCATGTGCTGTAAAAATTAGAATGATTAGTTTGTTCCAAAGGAACTGGAGGGACTGGAGTCTGATTTTGATACCGTCGGGCTTAGATTTGGACCCATAACCACTAAACCTTCCCCTTAGCTTAAGCACATATATCATTCGGAGGCTGGGTGTTTAGTTTATTGCCTATGCTTGGAGGAGTTGTTTGTGACAGTAGAGTTAGAAGCTCTTCAATCACCGTTACCTGTTTTTGGATAGGTTGTAGGACCTGATTGGGAAAAATTGAGTCTGATTATGTTGGAGGAAATTTCCTATATTGGAGTTTAAGGTAGGAGAATGTGAGTCCTGTGCAGGAATTTTGGTGGATAACTGCGTGTCAGCTTGAAGGAATTTGTTCAACCGTTTAAAGGACAAAGTGGGTTATTGTTCACCATTATTTCTTATTCTCATTGATACTAAAAGATTTTAGTCATATGTTATTGCGTCCCGTGAAACTCTTTTGATCTCTCTCTCCCTTGGTTACTCATTTAGGGGTCGTTTGGTTGGTGAGATAAGGGATTATAATCCTGGGATTAGATGCGGGATTATAATCCTGGGATTAGATGCAGGATTATTTTATCCCGCGTTTGGTTGAATATTTTGAATTCGGGATTCGGAATCCCGGATTAACTTATGCCACAATTGTGGTATTACTTAATCCCAGAATAAACACTAAAATGACAAAGATGCCCTTTTCCTAGGCTCTTCCCCCAAAGCTCTTTACAAAACTCAAGGTTTAAATTGGAAATAAAAGTCTATCTCAACTTATCTAGCATACACCAAACACATGTTTTATATTATACCCCGTAATATCCCATTTTTGAACCAATGAACCAAACATCTTCCAATAAAAATATATCCACTAAATAATCCCGTCATTATTTAATTCCTGTATTATAATCCCGTCTTATAATCCCGGGGTAACTTGTTCCCCAACCAAACGACCCCTTATGCTATAATGGCATCTGAGTTTCTAGTGGAAGTCCATACTTTCTTCCATATTAATTCAATGTGTTTCAAATGCTCCTATTAATT